TCACTGGCATCCTCAGTGTCCAGTGTCCTCCAGTGTCCCCATGTCCTCCAGTGTCCTCCCAGTGTCCCCCAGTGTCCACCAGTGTCATCAGTGTCCCTCAGTGTCCACCAGTGTCTCCAGTGTCCACCAGTGTCCACCAGTGTCCTCAGTGTCCCAGTGTCTACAGTGTCCCCAGTGTCCTCCATTCTCCAGTGTCCACAGTGTCCTCAGTGTCCCAGTGTCCTCCAGTGTCCCCGTATTCCCCGTCCATCCTCGTGTCTCAGTGTCCTCCACGTGCCCTCAGTTTCCACCAGTGTCCCCAGTGTCTCTAGTGTCCCAGTGTCTCTAGTGTCCCCAGTGTCACCGGTGTCTCGTGTCCAGTGTCCACCGTGTCACCAGTGCTCAGTGTCCCAGTGTCCTGGTCTGTCACCAGTGTCCCCCAGTGCACCAATGTCCCCAGTGTCCTGTGTCCTAGTGTCCAGTGTCCCCAGTGTCCTGATGCACCAGTGTCCTCAGTGTCACAGTGTCCTCCAGTGTCCCCCAGTGTCCAGCAGTGTCCCTCAGTGTCCACAGTGTCCTCAGTGTCCACCAGTGTCCCCAGTGTCCACCAGTGTCCCCCAGTGTCCACCAGTGTCCCCAGGGCGGTCTCGTGGTGATCCAGAGCTTCGACTTTCCGCGGTGTTAGAAGTTTATTACATATTAGGAAGTTTGACTGAGTAAATCCCTCCTGGTCCCGGGGTGATCTGTGAGGGAGGGAGGGAGGGAAGGAGGAAGGAAGGAGGAAGGAAGGAAGGAAGGAAAGGGGATGGAGAGAGGGAAGGGGGTAGGAGGAGGGAAGGGGTAGGAGGGAGGGAGGGAGTTGGAGGGAGAGTGGTAGGAGGAGGGAGTAGGAGGGAGGGAGGAGTAGGAGGAGGAGGAGGTAGGAGGAGGAGGGTAGGAGGGAGGGAGATACCTGATATGATTGTGTCTACATTTTTACAAACAGATCAACCAACTAACACGTAAAGCTCTTAACACACTTCACTGCCACACCATCCTCACCACTGCACTGTAATCCTTCTGCACTGCCGCTAACAGGATCACTATGGTGTGCACAATAAACTAGCAGCTGCCATCAATATACAAAACCTTCAGACATTGTTCAGATGAAGCCATAAGAGGAAGCCATTGTCCTCATCTCTCGTGTATAAATGTCTTCCTCTATCGTCATGGCAACAAAAATTTACCTTCTGCCAATTTACAGAATTTGTTTGATATTCAAATTAAATTTTACTCCTGAATCTCCAATATTTCTCTCGCCTTAAAAATAACTTATTAAAGAATTTTATATAAAAGGATGAATTTAATAAAGAATATTACTCAGATCCGGGAATACTTTTAATGATATTACTCCGCCAGCAGTTACTTGTCTGATATTACTCCTCCAGCAGTGACTTGTCTGATATTACTCCGCAGCAGTGACTTGTCTGATATTACTCCGCCAGCAGTGACTTGTCTGATATTACTCCGCCAGCAGTGACTTGTCTGATATTACTCCGCCAGCAGTGACTTGTCTGATATTACTCCGCCAGCAGTGACTTGTCTGATATTACTCCTCCAGCAATGACTTGTCTGATATTACTCCGCCAGCAGTGACTTGTCTGATATTACTCCGCCAGCAGTGACTTGTCTGATATTACTCAGCCAGCAGTGACGTCTGTATTACTCGCCAGCATGACTTGTCGATATTACTCTCCAGCAGTGACTTGTCTGATATTACTCCGCCAGCAGTGACTTGTCTGATATTACTCCGCCAGCAGTGACTTGTCTGATATTACTCCGCCAGCAGTGACTTGTCTGATATTACTCCGCCAGCAGTGACTTGTCTGATATTACTCCTCCAGCAGTGACTTGTCTGATATTACTCCTCCAGCAGTGACTTGTCTGATATTACTCCTCCAGCAGTGACTTGTCTGATATTACTCCTCCAGCAGTGACTTGTCTGATATTACTCCTCCAGCAATGACTTGTCTGATATTACTCCTCCAGCAATGACTTGTCTGATATTACTCCTCCAGCAATGACTTGTCTGATATTACTCCTCCAGCAGTGACGTGTCTGATATTACTCCTCCAGCAATGACTTGTCTGATATTACTCCTCCAAACAATGACTTGTCTGATATTACTCCTCCAGCAGTGACTTGTCTGATATTACTCCGCCAGCAGTGACGTGTCTGATATTACTCCTCCAGCAATGACTTGTCTGATATTACTCCTCCAGCAATGACTTGTCTGATATTACTCCTCCAGCAGTGACTTGTCTGATATTACTCCTCCAGCAATGACTTGTCTGATATTACTCACATCAATTACTTCACTTAATTACCCGTGCATTTTACCCTCATGGTATTGTTGTTCCAGTCATGGTATTGTTGTTCCAGCTATGGTATTGTTGTTCCATCCATGGTATTGTTGTTCCATCCATGGTATTGTTGTTCCAGTCATGGTATTGTTGTTCCAGTCATGGTATTGTTGTTCCAG